AAGTAATGCGAAATCAAGTAATGGAAAGACTAGGATATGTGGCCACGAGACCATACAAGTTATTTTGGGTAATTACGACCCACAAGGTACTACCTAGTGCACACTATGACTTAGGAGAATTCCTATCCTCCGTACTAAAGCCAAACCATAGCCATCAACATCTCATATCCTTACAAGCTTCCAAAAATCAACAAGTTCATGACATTTATGCAATCTCAATGCATGAAACTACCTACCAAGCACAAGTAGGCTAAAACCACACAACCCATGTCTTAAGGTTACATGTCTAAAGTGGCAAGTTAATGATATTACATATCATGTTATATCAATTTACTATCAATATAGGCCATAATTGCAAATCATGAAATATAGTAATCTACCTACAAGTAATTATAAGTGCGACACACAAGATTTTCATACTAAGCTTTCAATGAAATCTATATTACTTAACATCATAAATGTAATCTCAAGATATCCATAATAAGACCTCAATGGAATCATAAGTATTAGGCAACTTATTAGACAATAGCCTACCTATACAATTTAATAGTCACATACATGCTTTAATCCATAAATCCTAAGTCAAGCATATAAAATCTTTATTTACATGCTAGTACAAGAATTTAAAAAGGCATGTAATCAATATATATTAAGCTCCAATATATATATATAACCCAAAGAGGATAAACATACAACCACCCCTACCTCAATAGAGAATTGAATCTCTATAATCCAACAACCAAGCTCAAAATGGGAAAACAAGTTTAGGGTTAATGAAGAGGGGAGTGAGAGGAAGCTTTTGTCTTCCAAGGTTTTATGTCTAAGGTGAGTGGAAGGAGGCCAAAATGAAGAAGAAAGCTATTAACCAAGCTTTTCTCCAATGGTGGCTAGGTTATGGTTCTTGAAGATAATTGAAAATGAAAATGATAAAGTGTAAAATGGTGAGTGGAAGGGCTAGAAATCCTCCACTCACTATGTGCTCTTACATTACCTCTCACACACACACAATGCAAGACTAAATGGTGAACCTACACTTGTCATGAATCTATGGTTCATTCCTAGGCTTAATCTCAAGCCTACACTTGTCACTAATCCAATGCCTCTTCCAAGACTAAATCCCAAGCCCACACTTGTCACAAATCAAAGGTTATATGTGCACTAATCTAAGGCCAACACATGGATAAATCTCCACCCACCAAATGTCAAGAAGTCATGGTGCCAAGTTTCTTCACCTAAATGCTAACAAATGGCTCCATGAGAGTGTGACACTTGTTACACTTTTCAAAAATTGCAAAATGGTCCTTTTTCAAAATATCTTCTAAAATAAATTGCAAAAAGGTCCCTAAAACGAAAAATAATTATTTTACATAATTAGACTAAAACCCCAAAAGTTATAAATAATTATACATTCATGCCCTTTACAAGAAAAGTACTAATCTAGCATGCTTTTCAAGAAAAGTAAAAATACCAATGTCATGGAAATCAAATACCATGAATGCATGCAAAACCGGAATCAAATCCAAGCACAACAAGTGAGGTTAAGCAAGGAAAAATGAAAAACGACTAAAGGACGAAAAAGGGAAAAGACGAAAAAAAAAAAAAGAAATCTCCGAAAAAAGAAAAGAGGGGAAATGACCAGGTCATTACATGTACCATTCAGATATTGGAGGATATGTTACGAGCTTGCATCTTGGATTTCGGGGGTAGTTGGGAGGACTACTTGCCTTTGGTTAAGTTTGCCTTCAATAACAGTTACCAGACCAGTATTGGCATGGCACCATTTAAGGCGTTGTATGGCAGACCTTACAGATCTCCAGTTTGTTGGACCGAGGTCAGTGATGCCATTGCCCTGGGTCCTAACATTGTCATTGAGACTACAAAGAAAATCAAGTTGATTCGGCAGCGGTTGGCTACTACACAGAGCAGACAAAAGAGTTACGCTGACAGGAGGAAATGATCATTGTCTTTTGAGGTAGGGGACCATGTCTTTCTTAAGATTTCTCCGCGCAAGGGGCTTCTGAGATTTCGACAAACTGGCAAGTTGTCTCCTAGGTTCATTAGACCATTTGACATTTTGGAGTACGTTAGTGAGGTTGCTTATCATTTGGCATTACCGCCAGACATGGATAGGGTTCACGACTTTTTTCATGTCTCAATGCTGAGGAAGTACGAGCCAGATCCATCATATGTTTTCGGGGGACTGATGTGGTTGTTGATGAGGACATGACCTACGAGGAAGGTCCGCTCCAGATTCTTGATTCACGGGAGCAGGTCTTGCAGACCAAGACCATTCCATTAGTTAAGGTTTTATGGAGACATCACGGCGTCGAAGAAGCTACCTGAGAGCTCGAATAGGAGGTTCGCTCTCGGTATCCCCATTTGTTCTTTCTTTCAGGTACGACTTGATTTCGAGGACGAAATCCTTTTAAGGAGGGTAGGTTATAATGACCCGGTTATTTTCCTTCTTTTAATTTTTGGTAATTTCTTTTTTTTTGTCTTTTTCCCTATTTCGTCTTTTTCTCGTTTATCATTTTTCCTTACATAACCTCACTTTTTGTGCTCGGATTTGATTCCGGCCTTACATGTATCCATGATATTTAATTTCCATGATATCTACATTTTTACTTTTGTAGAAAACATGCTAGATGTTTACTTTTCTTGTAAATGGCATAGATGCATAACTTCTTGGAAATATTCTTGACTTTTGGGGTTTTTGTGTAATTATGTAAAGTAATTATTTTTCGTCATATGGACCATTTTGCAATTTAATTTGGGAGAAATTTTGGAAAACGACCTTTTTGTAATTTTTGGAAAGTGTGACAAGTGTCACACTCCCATGGAGCCACTTGTTGGCATTATGGTGGAACCACTTGGAGGCTTAGTTTGATGGCACATGGAGGGTGGATATTCACCCATTTGTTGGCCTAGGATAGGAGCACTTGTTGGCATGGATAGTTGACAAGTGTAGGCTTACTATCAAGCCTTGGATCATCACACACACATTTCCCCAAAACGTGATATGTTACTCTCTCTCTCTCTCTCTATCACGCTCCATCTCTCTCACGTTACAAAGACATGCTTTGATGAATTCTTCGATATGGTGTTTTCGCGTAATTCGTCACGAAACAACAAGGAATTAGGTGGTGGTGGTGGTGGTGGGAGTGGATCTTCGGGGTTTTCGATTTCGATTCCAATAATGGGCATTATCTGCCTTGACCGTCGTTTTTGTTAATGCCGTCTTTAGGGATCGATCATGGAGTCGAGTTGGTATCGAGTGTGAGCTCATGGGTCGGTTTTCGGTATCTAGGTCTTTTACCAATGATCATATTCATCGCATCTTAGGGAGGCAATTCGTGTTCGTGGATCATAATCGTGTCGTGTCGATTTAAAGGTATTCTACTAAATAGCTCAACCTGAACACAACCCGTTTAATAATCATGTCAGGAACCCTCAACACTAACCCGACCTGTTTATTAAATGGGTTACACGTGTAACCCGTTTAATGACTTATTTAATAAAATCAAATATTTTATTATTTAAATTATTAATAATACTCAATCAAACATTAAATACAAGAAAAATATAAGTTTCAATCCAACCAAATAACTAAATAATCTCTAATCTAAAAAAGAATAAATTATAAAATACAAGTTTAGATAGTTATTTTGAAACTTAAATAGAAATTTGCTTATAACACGTGTAGTTAAACGGGTATAAACGGGTTACACGGGTTGAACCTATCAACCCAAACACGACACGATTAACTAAATTGGTTAATCGTGTCGACCCGTTTTTGTCCCGAACCCGTTTAACTCTTGTCGTATTCAAGTCGTGTTGGCGGGTCGTGTCAAATTTTACCACCCCTAATCGCATCAGCTATGTAGTATGGAAAAGGCAAACTAAGGAAGTGTTCTGTTTGTGTAGGGCTAGTCACATGACGCCACCACGCCAACCCATATCTACAAATTAAATGTGGGCCCCACTTCTTTCTCTCTCCACCCCAAACAAAATCAATAAATCAATGTTTTATTTGGTAGGTAAGAAGGAAGAGGTGTAGATAAGAAAGAAATAACAAATTTCGGTGTAGATAATAAGGAAAGAACAAATTCCTTTGTTCGGTAAATAAGAGACAGAGAGAGAATTACTTTGTTCGATAGAGGAGACAAAAAGAGAAATGATAATAGGAAGGATGATGGACGGAAGAAAAGAGGAAAAACAAGCGGGACTTCCTTCTCTCCTAATGAACATAGTAAATTGTGAACTCATTCTTCTTTTCCATCCAGCCGAATAAAAAGAGGGAATGATACAATCTCTTCTCTAGAATTGTCTCATCTATCACTTTTTCTCTCATTTTCATTTAATTTTTTTCTTTCCTACCAAGCGTAACATAGAATATATATATATATATAACTAGGCAACCCAACCAACACCATACTGGTGGATTGGCCACAAATATGGAGAGTCACGTCACCCACTTGTGAGTCTAATATTCACAAATGTGGAGAGCCAAAATGGGCTCTCACATCTGATGCTCTTAGTAGTCTGGTTTTGGATTTGAGTTTTGTCTTATGGGCTGCTGTTCAATTATCCAAAATTATGCTTTAGGGTTCGGTTGTTTGTGGTTTCAAATGTGCATCATAACCGTGTATTTACTATAAATTTCATGGTAGTTTCATGAAGTAAGAGTGAAACTAAATTATATCAATGCAACCTTTCAAAAAAAAAAAATTTATGTCAATGCAGAGATGACAGAGTTCGAAAATAAAGAGTCAGTTGGAAAGGGAGAGATGGGTTAGAGAGAGAAAACAGCTAATATATGCAATTGAGGGAGAGGCAATTTCGAGACACAAAGGGTAAAATTGGTATTATTGAGGGTTTTGAGATCACGTGACCTGCACATGGCGCTCCAAAAAAATCGGCTTTCCAACTAGTGTTTTTTTGTCAGAAGGGTACAATGTGCAACATTTTTTCAAAGTACAAGGATTTATATACACAATTCGTAAAGGGTGTAATATGCATCATATATATAACACTGGAGGGTTTCTTGTACATTACTCTTTTACAAATAGGTAATCAGAGAACAAAATTATAGCTTAATTGGGCGAGGAAAAACAAATCTATAAAGAAAATATCTCAATTACTTCACATAGTAAAAGATGTTCTACTTCCAGCTCTCCAATCTATTCTTCTATCCTCTAGTAATCAATGTTCATACATTCTGGATCCAATTTTCTTCTAGTGTAAACTATGAACTCCCATCTGTGAAAAGAACAATAAGAAGAATGAGACATGTATGGAAAAAAATCAATTCAAACTGTTAGTCAAAATGAATAAGATGATGGTTTATATGATTATTGATTCATATCCATATACAATGTCATTACCGAAAATTCTAACATTTACATGTTACGTAAAAGCAATTTTATACTCAAAATAGAAAAGAGATAGATGTTCTGCAAACAAAAAAGCATGGTTAGTGCAGAAAATTTCTGAGATGGTTGTTTTACTAAACCACAGCAGCAATACAAGACATGTAGTCAGGATCTGACCTAGACTAGGATAAACTTTCAGTAGACAAGACCAGATGCGTTCTGCAATGTCCCGAGCATCAACATAATTGAGATAATTCAGCACCTTATGCAGCAACTTTTTCAAGCCTAGATGAAGGTAGAGTCAACGCTAATTGTATCCCATGATCCAAAAAGGTGCAGAGTATATAAGGGTCCCCAAGGTAAACGAGGTGACTATTGTAATCAGGGCATATGCATATGCTCTCCACGGGTGCTTGCCTTCCCTCATTGCATTGTACTCACTAATGAAAGTAGAAACAGTACTTAGACAACCCAACAGCCCAAACTGTATACCAGATGCAACATTATCACAAGTCTTCGTATTCACCTATGTCAAACAAAAATATCTTCAAAATATGAGTCATATTCATATTTGCAGATAATAACATCATATGCCTTGATCATAGTGCAGTGCAGAAAATAGTCAAGAACAGTAATTTGGAGGGAATGACCAACATACCATTTTTTCAGATTTTTAGGGACGAAAGAATTTATCTATATCCTATTCTACTGCAAGCTTATAGATTGTGCGGACATGCTCCATTTTGTATTAATAAAAACTAAGGCTTTTACACATGCACACGTGTTTGCGTAGCGAAGGAAAATGAGAAGGGTGCAGGGGAAGGAAGTTGGGAAGTGGAGACAATGCAACGTCGTCAATGGAAACATTTGGAATTTACCACTTTCTTCACTATTGCAAGAGCTGCCATGACACAAGCTGCAGAAACATTGGCAATTAAAGTCCCAAAAGGAATCCATTTCAACAAGCCTGCTCTTCCAAAACCACGTCCATTGAGTCGGGCTAACCACCACCTAATCCACACACCTAGAGGTCCAACCATGCAAGCCAACCACAGCTGAGCTCCACCGCTGCCACTGTCAAACGCTTTCTTCACTAAGGTAGCACTCACACCCCATAACAAGCCTAGCATCAGTACCAGCACCACCATAACTGCCAAGTGACGCTTGCAGTTGTCCACCTTCCAATTGCTTTTGGAGTTAGAAATGCCATGTTCTGGACTTGTGTTTAATCTTTTGAGAAGCCACCTGAAACCCTTGGCTGAGTCAATCCCAATAACGATGGATCCGGCAACAAGAATTAAACCTGTGAAAAGAATATGACCAAAAAATAAGATTTTACACTGAATTGAATGAACTATACAGGGGATTGTTAGTTGTTGAAAATCTGAGATGGACCAAGCAGGAGATGAACCACATAAAATTAAAGTTCACAATATATACTTATCATTTGCCAGATTATCTGTACCCCTCATATGAATTACCTACAAGAAAGCCGAGGAAAACAAAAACCCATTCGCCTTCCACACTGAGGTCAAGCATTTTCTGATTCCAACCGCTAAAAGTTGTAAGGCTTCCCAAGTAACCAGTCGTCAGTCCAATGGCTAAGAAATCTGAAACTTCCGCAATATCCCTTTTGAACACAACGCCAAACCACCCCATCAAGAATGAACCAACCTAGAAGATTGCACATAATACTCATGAGAACAACTGAATTAGACATGCAGTGAAACAATACTATTCAAAGTGAAAGGAAATACAGGGTAGCAATTGGGTGAACAAAGGCTACCAGATAGCTTACAAGCCCAATCCCAAGACACAGATTTTATCATAACACCCAACCTGAAGAAAGCATTAACAGGAGGTCCATATTATAGACCCAATCCTACTTGGACTGAGTGAGGTCAGCATGAATTGGCAGATTTAAGTTGCTAAGCTGACACAAGGCCAACGTGCTACTGAGTCTAGGAGGCAAATTTACGTGCCAGGAGAACCGACGCAACACCCCCTCATATACTCTCACTAGATTTGTCAATGAATAAGATTTTGATCCAAATCTGATCTGATAACTCGAATATAGATTGAAACGTTCAATCCAATAACCCGTTAGCAATCTAAATCATATAACCTGTTAGCTAAACAATGCGGATATAGATTAGGATCGGTCAATCCAATATAGTATGCAATAAGGACATTATATAATGCAATAACATATAATATTTACATATTATTAGATTTTTTTATCATTATTATTTCTTCTTCTTCCCCCTCTCAATTTTCTATCTCTTTATTGATTTTCCTTTAATAAAAAGTCAAATACCTAATTTCTATTTTTTTTGTACATATTTTATTTTCCTTCCCCGGCTTCTCTATTTATTTACTCTTTCTTCTAATCATTGTTTGCTATCTCTTTTTGAGATTAATTTTTTTTAATTAAAAAATACACCCTTAACAGCTCGGATTATCGTATCAAATATTCCAATCAATTGCAACTCAGATATGTATTCATTCATAAATAATCCATCGGGGAGTGAAACAATTCATACACTAGAGCATGTTTACTCCTAACCAATGTGTTCAAATATTCTAGTCACATAGGCACCCAGAATCCCCTGGCTACAATTTCAATTAACTGATGTACATGCAATGGATGCTACTACTTGTGTACCCATAATTATTATAATATAAAAAGTCCAATGTTTCTATATTAACCATCATCTAGCTCACATTAGGTTAATTAGCAGAATAACTCAACCAAATCACCAGCCTAACATGAATGCATATGTAAACTGAAGTAATATTCCACGTATAATTGTAAACTATACAAAAAGCTGCCTGTTCCTCAAAACTACGCTCATGAATTGTTCATCACAAAATTTCTTGAAAAGGCAATGCATCTCATCTCTTCACAATATAATGGGATAGCATGGACACAGTAGGCGTCTAAACATAATTCACAAAGTTGTGAATAAGTACATGCTTTAAGAGTATCTGTGAGTGTGTGCAGTGTGCATGTGTGTTTCTAAATCTGTGTGTATGTGCGTGTTTGTGTGCGCACGCTCGTGTGTGCGTGTGTGTGTGTGTGTGTGAGAGAGAGAGAGAGAGACCATATTAGAAGGAAGATCAAGGTACATATAATTATGGTTCCCTGTGGCACCAACAATTCCTGGACCAAACAGCTTTTGCAGTAAATACCTTGTCAAAACCTAAAAAAAAAGTTCCATGAAAAAGTAAGTGGCTTGTGTATTCATAAAGAAGCTACACAAACACACAAAAATATCCATATCAATTAAATATATGCACTAATTTCAATTCAGCACTGCAATATTCAATCAATAAAAGTAAGTTCACAAACATCTGATCTTTCTAAAGTCGAAAAATTGCCAAGAACGAAAAAAAATATTGGACATATAATGCGTTTGGCTAATATAAAGATGCCAATGCTAAAGCTTAAGAAGGCCATGAAAGCTAAATAAGAAGCATCATATGCCATACTGAATGTAGAATCTGGGGATGATAAAATACAGATGAACCACTTCAAATAATTTACCGAGTATAAACATGTCAGCAACAGAATCATTGGCTATACACCAATTTAAAAGCACAAATAAGCAAAGGAAAAGGCTGAATAAATTGCAAAGTCAATGTGTAGTGCTTGCTAAAAGAAAAACAGAGAAACAGAAAGAGAGACAAAGAAAGAAAGAAAGCAAACTTGAATATGAAGACTTGTATACCCCAAAAGAGAATGGGGGATGGAACAAGTATCTGCAGTTAAAAAGTGCACAACAACTTAATTTAACTCTTGTTTGGTAATGAGCCTTCATAACTTTTAGCAATCACCAAAATATATTATATTTTAAGAGAGATGAAAATAAAATGGAGAAAAGGAAAACCACAAAAGAGAAGCAAAGAAAGAGTTTTCAAAACAAACGTCATCTAAGGAACATAAATTAGTAGAATTTGAGAGATGAATGATTATTAACATGGAAACCATTCAACTAAGTCATGGAAATCTAATTGGAGACTCAAAAATACTTCTAGGGTCTCAAATCCAAAATTTTCTCCATAACTGATATATTGTTCCAATAAAAGAATCACCAAGTTCCATTGTCATCAGATTATGCATTTCGATCATCCAATCTGATAGAAATAATAATAATCTTAAAGAGCCAGATCCTCGAGGACCCAGCGATCCCATAATTTTTATCTTCTTGCTTATCCTACCAAGTAGCGAACTATAAACTTAGCTACCAAGATATAGGATCTAACAGAGATAAAGCTGTGGCAATAATTTCTCTTTATTTCATCATCTGTATCCTTCTATTCCTTCTGTCCCTCCACATGGTACTGGCCTGTGGTCCAGAAAGCACCATATAAACCTTATGTCATTGATTTTCTAGCTCAGTCTAGCCATTACTTCCAAATAAAACGAAAACCAGAATTTGCAGAGGTTTTTTGTGATATTTCATTATTATTTAAAACTGTGGTTAATCATTTCACCCTAGTACACCATGGCACAATTTTCAAAGCAGAGTTCCACATAAAAAACCACGTGAACCAAGTAAAATTTCAACCCTCTCTTCCAAAGGCTGTAACACTTCACGCGCACGATTTATGAAAAACTCTTCATATTTATTTTTTGGGTGTTGAGGTGGCAGGAATGAAGAGAAAAAAAATGAAGACTTCAAAATTGTTCCACTTTTGTTGTTTTACAAGCGATTTTCTTTTATATGTTCACCTTTGCAGCTGAAGAATGTTGATGTTCATACTTCATATGGCGTTCACACATGATGCCCATTATTACCAGGTGATAAAACTGAAAAGTTTAGTATCAGCCTACAACAAAATAGAAACTACTTTTGACAGATGCAATTATGGGATGAACTGGCAAAAATTAGATTTCCATTCAGACTCTCTCCAGGCTAATACTGCGAAAAAATTGACCAGTGAAAATTATGTGTATTGGGCCTATATGATGAAAAAATTCTGCTGGGCAAAAACATCGGTATTATGTTATTGGGACGTTGACTATTCCATCAAATACCAAAGCTGAAAAGTACACTGAATTGTCATCTTACTTGGGCAGTGAATAATGCGAAGATAATCACTTGGATAAATAATTCTGTGGATCAGTCTATTGGGGTGCACTTGGCTAAGTTTTCCACCACCAAAGAAATTTGGGATTATTTGCCCAAGATTCCAAGTTATATGTGCAATCTAATTTTAACAAACAGTATTAATTAGAGTATGAGATTCAGGCTGCTAGACAGGGTGATAAGAGTATACAGGAATTCTATTCAGTTATGACAGAGTATTGGGATCAGTTAGCCCTTATAGAGCCTGCAGGACTAACTTCCAATGAGCAGTATCGTCTTTAAAGTTCTTTTGTTGTTGTTCATTGATCAGTTTATTCAATAACTTAGGACATTGAGCCTTCCAGTATCCCTTTGGCTGACAAAAACTGCATTCATTAGCACCAACTCTAGGATGCAGCCTACTTGGTGTCCCAAAATGAGGCTTAGGTGGAACCGCCAAAACAGTCTGACTAGGTAGAGGAAGAAGTCCTTTTCCTTGTAGCTTTAAGACAAACTTCCTCACCCTATAACTCATTAACCACTAAATCAACAGAAAGAAGTGGACTCCGATGAAGAATAGAGCCACTAAGACCCTTAAAGTCATCCCTAAGAGCCATAACAAATTGCACCTATCTGTGCTCTTCTCTGTAGCTATGATACAGCTCATTGGAACTCAGTCGTAAAGACTCTATAAAGGTTAATTGATCTCAATACCCGGTCATAACTGAATAAACTCCTGTTACAGTCCTGTCACCTTATCTAGCAACCCAAATCTCATACTTCAACTGATACTGTTTAGCAAAATTAGATTGCACATATAGCTTGGACAAATAATCCCAATTTTCTTTAGGTATGGAAAACTTGGCCAAGCGCACACCAATAGACTGATCCACAGAATTATTTATGTAAGTGATTATCTTCGCATTATTCACTTCCCAAGTAGATAACAGTTCAGTTTACTTTTCAGCTTTGGTATCTGATGGAATAGTCAAAGTCCTATTGACATAATCCCCATATGTTTAACCATCAATTTTTTTTTTTCATTACATTGGCCCAATACATATAATTTTCACCAGTCAATTTCGCAGTAATATGCTAATAGCCTCGAGAGAGTCTGTTATCTTTTAAAAATTAATTCTAACTACTGTTCAATCAAATATTATCCAATGTCACAGAAAAATTATGTGAACAGAGAACTAGTCTTCAAAGCCAAAGAGAACTCCAAAATCAAAGAGATTTGAAGCCAAAGAGTAAGACAGAACTGGAGCAATTTCAAACAAGGAGATGCAGCTATTTCAAACAAGGTTTATGAACAGATGTGATTAGAGTTTGTAATTACTGCGATATCAAACAGAACAGAAAATCAACCAGACAGACCAGAAAATCAAAGCTGAAGTCAGATGCAAAGTAAAGAATCAAACTTAATATGCGAAACAAAACCCAAAGCCGAGATGCGATTTGAACAGAGAAAAGAAGCCGAGAGTTGTGCTACGATGGGCTTCGTCTGGGGTTGCAATGAAGCCGAGATGCAATCAAATATAGAACTACTGTTCAAGAACAAAGGGAATCGTAAATCCAAGATGATGTTGCAAACCAAAAGAAACTTGCAATTGAGTTGTGACGAAATGAAATCGCAATACAATACGATGAGACTATTGCAATGGTGATTGCGACGCGATTAGTGCCAAGATTGATGCTCTGATTATCTGATACCATGTGTGAGAGAGAGAGAGAGAGAGAGAGAGAGAAACTTTCTATTCTGAAAAATTGCTAACCGTAATGTTCTAAAAGACTGTATTTAATAATAAATAAATAGCAGTTTATACTACCCTTAACAAAACATATACAGATAACTCTCTAACAGTAATAACTCTTAGAACAAAAGCCCAGTTATTATATGCTTGCTTACTTCATTACAACAACACTGGCATATATATAGTTTCTATAACCATCTAATTACTGGGTACCTGATGTTAAGACACAGAGAAGAATGAGTCGAGCAACGAGCATTTGCAATTATTAATTTTCTGATTATACATTGTTCCTTATGCTTTGGCATATTAAGGTTCATGAAAATTCAGGCTAGAATGAGATTAACTTATCAGTTCAAAACAAAAAATGGCCCAGAGGTACCTCTTGTAGGAGAGGTGGTTATTTGGCTGCATGATTTTTCCACATAGACTAGCTCCTTTGCATTTAACTGTGCTCCCAAGACAACATGCTTCTAAAGATTGGCATAATATTAATATTGCATAAGTTCTCTAAATAAGAGGGGTAAATGCCCAGCGTTGGTATCAGATTGTCAAGAATGAGATTGCAGGTTTGAGTCTAAGAAAAATCACTTTGAAAAAATAATGTCAAATGTTAATTCTACCTGGTCAACCTTCCTAATACCATCCATTAATGGGAATGAAAAGCTGGGGAACAGCCTTTTTATAATTTTCTATAAGATATAATGAACATTTCAAATACATCAACTTTCAGTAGCATGATGAAATGCATGGTCTTTACCAAAAAGTTGAACCCCTATGTCTCATGCCATAACATCCTTAATCATGAAACAATAGTAAAAGTGTCCTTACCACAACTTTTGCTAAATAAACCACAAATTCCTGACTCGCTCCCCACCCCTTCATCCAAACAAATAAACACAACCTCAATATTCAATTGAGAGAACTATCCCATACTTCTGCATGATTTATCTTGCCTTTTTTTTCCTTCAATTGAATGCTTGAAAATCTTTGAAAAATTTTGAAGTTCACTATTATTAAAATTCAGATCTATGCTGTCATATAAGCAAAAGTGCGTTGATTAGGTCAGTACTCCTTAAATTATGTCTGTCATCAAGTAATGCAGAAATGAGGGTCAGTTAAGTTGCTGTCAAGAAAGTACCAACTACCCTACTAGAAGAAAGTAAAAAGTACAATAGTCATGCAAGGAAATCAAAATTGTGATGCAAATTTCAGTCAAATTAAAATGTCTACTGCCTCTTTGGAAAAGAAAAGCTCCAAAAAATTAAATTTTTAGCATCATACCCCGAAAATTCCAAAAACAGCAAGATGAACGAGGCATATAATATACTCGAATGACCATGGCAGATCTTTTCTTGTCTCCTGAATAGAGATTATATGATCAGCAAACATGAGAATAGTAGTGGAAAACCATAAGCCCATCTATACAGTCTCTTTCACACCAATTTCCATCAAAGAAAAAATGTTGGATGATATCTTACTTGCGTTTTGTCTCCAGATTGTATGAATGCATTGGTGGAAAGAGGAGATATAACCTCTGCTGGTAATGGCAATACAAGGGAGACAGTATTTGACACAGTGGGATCATGAGACCTGAACCCATATGATTGCAACAGAACATCCTCTGGAATCGGAACAACACCACCACTTTCTAACGGATTATCAACAGGGAAGAGGTGTCTGCCACTTCCACTGTTCCTATTGCTGTGAAAAGCCCGATCCCCAGTATCTCCTGCCTCTGAAACACTCTCACTTTCGGCATCATCATCTATTTGAGATTGAACAACACTTGAAAAACCAAAAGAACGCCTTCTCAGAGAACCAGCACGGCTTGTCCGACCAAAAGATTCGCTTTGCGTGGGGTCAGCGACAGCGTCATTAGTGTCACGATCCATAATCCTTGTACAAGAGCTGCTGACGCTTCATTCCTCCTGCAATGACAATACAAGCAACAGCGATGGAACTACATTGTTAAAACTTAACAAGATCACGTTACAATAGAATGATGTGATAATTAGAATTTTAAGCTACTTTCAGCTACTCCATTTATGAAAACTAACAAAAGTAAGTGTAACAGGTTATGCCACCAGCACAAAATTTTTATAACAAAAAGTCAATCTTGATATATATATATATATATATATATATGTATGTATGTAGGTATGTATGTATAGGAAAGTGTGTGATAACAATATAGATAGTGCTTACATCTAAAATCTGCCACTTAATGACATAGGAAGGACAAAAAAATTAAAATTATAAATAAAAAATCGTTGATAAGTGGGACAGCTGTGCAAATGGATCAATCTATAATTACTCATACTTGACACTGAAGAAGACCCTTAAAACCATTTTCCAATGCATAACTGTCCATTAAAATAGAGACAGCATGCAAACAGTCGTAGCAATGGGCCTTTAAACCAATGGTATAACCTCTCCTTGAGGGAGGTTAGGGGTTCAAGCCCCATAGTGGGCAATTTGTGTTATGCTTACCCAAAAAAAAAAAAAAAAAAGACTTGAAAAAAGGTTTTTTTAGTCAGACACAAGGCCAAAGAATTGAAAATTGCTCCTTACGTCCTGAAATATGAATTGGGCTTACAGCAATAGATGTTGCGACTGCAAGTCACTTTTTAAATATTGGTGCAGCACAATACAAGTTCTTCACTATTAAACAAATGGTATTTTTTTCAACTTTGTTGGCAGCACCTACTCGTGAAATTCATTTAAAAAGCATGATCTTTCTATAAAATTGATCTCTGTTCTGAAATGAAATTTAAAAAGTAAATACAAAGAAAACTAATATTTAAGCATAACCACTTGAAGTTTTGCCAAAAAGACTTTATAGAAACAGACAGAGCTAAAAGGTGAAGTGAATTTGGTGAAGATTATGATAGAAATGACACTGATGAAGATTATGAGGTCAGTGCTAAGGCAGGAACACTTATGTTCGTATTTATGACTTACAATATAACCAGAGAACAGACCCATGTAAGATTCGTCCTCCACTAACAGAACAACATATAATTTCATAGGACTAGGAGTACTATTTGTTGCCAAGAGAGAGGCTGTGTCCTCCAGGTACAAAAACACCACAACCAAAGCACTCTAAATGGGTGTCAAAGCAAAATTAGTACAAAAACACCACAACCACTCAAACCTAGATTGGTGTCAAAACAATTGCTTTAAATTTATACAGATTTCAACCAAAAATAAAAAATAAACAAACAGTCTTTGTCACCAAGAGAGAAGATGTGCAATCCACTAAAAGAGGAATATGGGGAAGCAAAATAGTACAAAAAAACCACAACCGCTACAATCCAATCTCCAATTGTCTGGTTCAACTTCTTCATGCAGTTGAAAACAAAAAACAAAAAGGACATAGCAAATAAATAAATGCGGTTTGGAGAGATTGAGGAGAGACATGAATAAACAATAATTTTAAGTAAAATATATAAACAAATAATCAAAAGGACATAGCAAAATGGCAACATAAAAAATAAAATGAGAGAACTGGTCTTAGAGAGAGAATCTAGAGAGACAGTACCATGAATAGGAATCCTTGGGACGCGGTGGCAGCTCGAGCAGATTAGGACCGAAATCTCGTACAGCTTCAAAACTCGTCTTCTTCAACAGACCCAAAAAGAAGAAGAGGAAGAGAAGTTTGTGTACTGTGGATTGTTTGTATGACCAACGTAACAAGGAAAAACAAAACCCAAAAACGAATTTGACAAAGCCGGGAAGGAGGACCACAATGAGAGAGCGCGAACCTCCTCCCCTATTTCCTCTTAACCCCAGAGTGGAACCTGTCCAATCCGGAAAGAGACGAGACGAAACTATAGATAAGTCCCCACGTTGATATTGGAAACCGCATTATATAGAAGTCCCCCACGCTGATCTTGAAAAGCACGTTATGTTTTGGAAAAATTATAAAAATTAGACTTTGGGAGTTTTATTAGGACACTTTGCCAAATTCACGAACTTTGACTAAAAATTAAAAATTAATATGACGTGGATTTGAAAAATAATATTTATTTGTTCAAACTGTCTTTACTATCTTTGGACATCACTCTTGTTATTAGACGTAAAACTCTTGTGATTAAAGGTATCCATTTTAGGTATATAACTACCACTTTTATACATAAATATATTACTTTTTGTGCAGAATATTTTAATTTATTTAGTTTGCACAAAAATGATACATGCATGTACAAAAATGATACATATATACGCAAAAGTAGTACATTTACATAAAATTAGTATTACTTGCACAAAAATAGTACCGAAGATATTAAGGATAGTTTGGACAAATGAACAACATTTTTTCATATTCACATCGCATTTTGATCAAGCCCATGAATTTGAAAAGTGTTTATTTGACTTCATCTCTAAGTAATAACCTCCCAAAGTCTACATTTTTATAATTTTTCCTTATGTTTACATATAGCTAGAATTACATTATGTTTATGAAAAGAAATAAAAACATTATGTTTCATATATATATATATATATATATATATATACACATTTATTGGTAAAGTGAAAAAAAAAAAAAAAAAAAAACACTCCCTATGTACAGTTTTTGAAAAACTAATTCCTCTATATTTTTAAAAATAAGTAAATAAAAATAATTCTTCAATTTGAAGATTCAAAAATCTAAAATACTCTTAAGACAAAATAAAATAAATATAAAAAGGAAATGTCAAAATAAGAGTAATATGTTTTGTTCAAGCTAATAAACAGTGTTTAACAAAGTGTTAGTATTAGATAAATAAATAAATAAATAAAAGAGAATTTCCAAAAAATAATTAGTTAATTAATTATTGGACATTTAAGGCTATGTCTGGTACAATGGAAAAGACTGATAAATCAACGGGCCAGTGAACTAACGGTATCAGCCTCTTACTTCCCAAAGGGACGTCCGAGTCTCAAAAGAGACGTGTGTGTGACTAGGAAAAAAAAGAAAAGATTGATAATTAACATTAGTCAGAAAAGAAAGAAAATAAGAAAATAGTGTTTGTTAACCATCTATCGTCGTCGTTTTTTTTTTTTTTTTTTGGTGTCATTTGCAAGAAACTCACTTAGACTTAAACCATCACCATCTACTTTGGTACTTTGGGAGGCAGAGGAAATGCCATAGGGACACAAGGTCCTTGGTAACCATCTATTGTGTTTAGGTGATTAATGAATGAAAAGAAAGGAATAATAATAATCATGTTTGGAGAAAGAAATGAAAAAAACAAAAAAATACTACTTAATGAATTTACTATCATACAATTTTTCATAAATTGTCTTTGTTTTTAAAATACAAAAAAAATAAGGGCAAAATCAGTAGTAGAAAAACTTTATAAAACTTTACTCCAACTATTTCCTTTCATTTCCTCCCTTTTTTTAAAAGGATAACAAAACTCACCCATCATGCCTAATTTGTATCTCTCCAAATCCTTCTATTTCCTTTCTTTTCCTTTAATAATTTATACCAAACACAATATGGCATTCCCCTCTCTAACCTTTCTTTTCTTTTCCTTTCATTTTTTCTATTTTTTTTTTCCTTTTACTAAAGCAAACAAACAACACAGGGGATACAATATAAAAAAGGCATCTACATACAGAGCCTTTGAAACAGAAACTGGGATTGAAACCCAACACATCAACTTATCCCATGAAGTATGAGCCATTTTGCACGTTGCATGTGCCGACCCATTGCCCGATCTGGGATCCATTTTAGAAAGATGTTGTTACACCTATCCAACAAAAACTTACAATCTTCAACAATCACATTTAGAGCTTCCTCCGTATGACTTAGCTCCATGACTAATTTACAGTCACATTTCATAACTATGTTTGACAAATTCCCATCCAAGCACGTTTGAAGGGTTGCTCTCAGCACCAAACCTTCTGCAACTGAGGCTGATGATGTGTGAGAGAAAGAAATAGAAGCAATTCTCAACGAAATACTTTCAAGATTCCTGAGAACAAGTGCCCCTCTACATTCGAGTGATGCCCCATTAAAGGCAGCATCAACATTCAGCTTACAAAACCTAGTTGGAGGATGGGACCATAAATATCTATGGTTTGGACTTTGAGATGGCTGTAACCGTAACAACTGGTGTTGTCTGCGAATCTCTTGGCCCTAAAAAAAAATCCCAAATCGCATTGTCCGCTATATCTTTAGGCCCTATCTTTTTCATATTAAATTCCCAATTGTTGTGTTGCTTCCATATATGTCAACATATATAAGAAGCCAAACCCGCACTATAGGGAAAAAAATTTATCTCCTTCCAATCGTCTATAAGAGATACCCATTTTCTAGGCTAATGCATGGGGCATCACTCGAATGTAGAGGGGCATTTGTTCTCAGGAATCATGAAGGTATTTTGTTGAAAATTGTTTCTATTTCTTTCTCTTAAACACCATCAGCCTCCGCCCCCAAATTAAAAATTATCTCCTTCCAATTGTCAACAAGAGATACCCCTATTTTATGTGTATATTGCGTATTATATGTAGTTTAATTGGGGCAAATGTTAAGGATTGTGAGTTAAGCCATGTCTAACATGCAAATTATAAAATAACTTGCTTACATGAATTGTATGTAAAAGAATACTTATTATTCTAATTATGATTATGTATTCATAGTGGAGTGTATGGTTGTCCCAAGCATATTGTATTTCACCTCATGACATTCACCATAGCATGGTGTGAGTGATTAGTGGGGAGTGTGGCAAATCGTGGATAAAACAGGTTTTATAAGGTTGTGGAGTAAAAGTGTTTCTCAAAATTGGAATTGAGGAGGTACCCCTTTAACAGCAATACTAATAGGCTATAAGGACAGAAGGAAGTACTTGAAGTCCGGCCACTTAGTACACTTTTGGTGTGAGTGTGTATAAATCGGTTATGTGTGTGGTGTAGACGCATAATGCGTGGCATTTATTTGATATTTAGAGCTTGCTTGATGGTTGATTAGTGATTAAAATCCCTTGCATGATCTTCTCCATCTTAATATGCTCCTACTTGATTGTTCTCATGCTTACTTGACTTGAGGAGACGCCATTTAGGTATCATCTACTGAGCTGTGGCGCTCACCCTATTATTAACATTTTTAAGGTCATGGGAAGTTAACGGTTGATGACGTGCCTTCACGAGCCTAGAGATGGATTAGTATTCGTTTTTTTTGACCCGTTTTGTATTGACATTTGATTTTGTAAAGACGTGGTTATAAAATTGTAATTTTTGAAAAGTATTGTATTAACATTGTAACAATATTCTTCGAACATACTTTTGCATTTGTAGTGTGTTGGTAGTAAAAAAATATAATAATTCTATTTTGGATATGTAACCATGATGTAATCATGTTAACATTGTTTTGTTTGAGCGGATTACTTGGGGTATATATACAATTCTATTTTGGGTATATATAGTGTTCCACTGGAATTTTAGTAGTGTATTAGTGGTAGTTTAGTGGTTGTGCTTTGGGTGGTTACATTGCAATTGGTTGTATAATAAAAGAAGTAAAAAAAAAAATACATGACTAGGAGGTTTCGGTCAACGTGTGGCTTCCTACGCATCTACCGGTATCTCATGATTTTGGGCAATGAGCAATTTCACTGTGGATGACTGTGATACCCCCGGATTTCCGGATGCGGGTTGGCCAGGCCCACGCCCGATTACCCGAGGATATCAAACCAATTAGCAATTAACGAACACAGAATACAATTTAGATAGTAGGAATGAATAAAAACTTACTGAAAAGAAACTAAAATGAAAATCCTTTATAGAAAAACCTCAGAATAAAAATTTTACAAATAATAATTAGTCTGATACATCCAACTTCTCCAATTCTAATACAACTTGGGAATCCATCTCTAATGGACCCCTAATAATAATCCAAACTGAAATGAAAGCTACTTAAAGAACATCCAGAGTAAACCATGGAGAAAAGTCCTACGTCGTCGGAAGAGTGAGTAGTAGTCTTTGCTCAGCACGATCAAGTCTAAGTCTGGAACATGACGAGTACCTGAAAAATAGAGGTGGGTCAGGCCCACGAACAAGTTCTAAACTAGTACAATCCAAGCAGAGACTCGATTCGCATATACATTCTAACCAACTCAACAATAACTAAATAGTCCGTAAATATATATATATATATATATATATATATATATATATATATATATATATATATATATTCACACTACAGGACTCCCACTAGAATACAGGCCCGTCTCAACCTGACTAGTAGGCACCATGCAAAACGCACCTGAGGTGGGCATGACTACCTGGACCTAGCAGGGTACACATCCAACCATCATAGCCAGCTATGCATCCCAATGCATATACGCTTCCTAGCCAACAACTCTGAGACTCAGGCTCATATCGTGGCACCATAACATAATATATAAAGTCCGTTCTAAGTGTGTCATTCAAAAAGTTTATTGACCTGACACCTAGTTATAAGTAGGACTTAACTTTTGTAGTTAATCCATCTTATTTCAATATAGGTAGGACTTAGTGTTTGAACTAATCCATCCCCAATATAGGTAGGTCTCAGTGTTTTGAACTGAGCCGTCCCTAGTATGCCATCATCCCATACCGGTGCATACACATCCATATAAGTAGGACTTAACTTTTCATAGTTAATCCAACTCATTCCAAAATAGGTAGGATTTAGTGTTTTACTAATTCATCCCTAGTATGCCACCGTCCCATACCGGTGCATACAATCCATCCATCCGGTAAATGGTAGTACAAATATATATATGTGAATACCAACTAATCCATAACAAAAATAACAAGAGTCCATCACATGTATAACCAGTATATGTGTATAACATGCTTGTTCTGTT